ATTCAAATACATGCTTCAACCAAATAAGAGTTCAGCAGAAAATTGCAGTTCAAAAATGTATTTAGTGAAAAGGACAATGATGTGCTTTCTCTCAACGTTGTAACAAAGATCAGGGTTTTTTGAGGTCTAGATCTACAAACAGTTCGTTCTCTTCACAAACAATAGCGTATTTAAGTCATCATCTTACAAAAGAAAACTTCAATCTGTCTTTAAAAGGGTATCATTGATCTTGTTTCCGCCAAAATTTATATCAAAGTTGTGAAATATTTAATATAATCCTTCTTTTCCTGTTACGAAAAAAAAAAAATCTTTTCTAATCTCATTCTGGGATCAAACATTTTTAATATTAAAAACCAAATACCAAAAGCTTCAAAAGTATAAAATATTACTAAAATCTGGAGAAATACCTAGAAATATCTGGAGATTTGGTGAAAAGTCGGGTGATTTTTCCCAAGCGTGTAAATTCATGATTTTGAAACTCCAAATTGATTATTTATCATATAATCATCATATCATATTATGTTATTCATCAAAATCATTATGTTATTCATCAGAACTATTATGTTATTCATCATATTATTCTATTTTTCATATTATGTTTTTTATCATATCATATTATGTTAATCATCATATCATGTTATGTTAAACATCATATCATGTTATGTTATTTATCATATTCAGTTATACATCATATTATGTTTTTTATAATATTATGTTATTCATCATATTACATTTTTTATCATATTATGTTTTTTATCATATTCTGTTACTTATCATATTATGTTTTTTATAATATTTTGTTATTTATCATATTATGTTTTTTATCATATTATGTTATATATCATATTCTGTTTTTTATCATATTATGTTATATATCATATTATGTTATACATCATATTCTGTTATTCATCATATTATTTTTTTTATAATATTTTGTTACTTATCATATTCTGTTATTCATCATATTATGTTTTTTTATAATATTTTGTTATTTATCATATTCTGTTATTCATCATATTATGTTTTTTTATAATATTTTGTTACTTATCATATTCTGTTATTCATCATATTATGTTTTTTATAATATTATGTTATTTATCGTATTCTGTTATTCATCATATTATGTTATTTATAATATTTTGTTATTTATCATATTATGTTAATTATTATACTATTAAGTGAATAAATACTAGTATTATAGTACTAATGATGTTCACCTGTATAATTTGACTAAATGAACTGTAAGTAATACATATTAAATACTATTAGTTTATTTCTTCATGTTGTAACCACTCAAGATAAGATTACATAACAATTCCTTGCCATTTTCTTTTTTAAATGTATTTAAGAAATTTGCTTATCTAATCTTTGTAAGTGTTTGAAATTTTTATCACATGTTCAGTTCAGTTCTGTTAACTCTGTTACACAAAATTCACAATGGCTGGTTGGTTCAAGCATAGTTCTATGATTAACATGTTCTAAATGCAAATGTAATTTGACTTAAGGCAAATGAAATGAAATGAAATGGAGGTTTGATGTCCTATATTTCTCCACCTGATTGAGCTAATGCCAGGCAGTGTGCAACAAGGGAAATTTTGTTAGGACAGCCACATTTGCCTACTTTTGTGGATTTCCAACTTTAACGTGCACAATCTTTGGCACAAGCGCCTTGGTTTATTGTCCCATTTGAATGACTAGACACATTTTCCACTTCAGCTCCTCTCTTAGTCAAGGAGAAACAGGGTTGAAGAACCCGAAATAATTATTCTGGCCTAAGCCAGGCCTGAACACTTGACCTTCAGGTTAGCAAGCATCTTAATAAACGCAAAGACAAAATCAATTTACTGAGCAAGCTCCCTTAGCAGTTCAGATGAGTCGAACAACCTGAAAGGACTGATCTATTCAAAGCAAATAAATGATAGAAAACGGTTAAATATCAAGCTATAAGGTTGTAGTAACAGTTGGATGTAAAAACTTCATTTTATTTTCGTGAAACAACTGCAAGTACTTAAGTTTTTTCAGTCTAGATTTCAAGAGTTGAAAACAGACAAACATACTTTTTTTAAAGAAGAGCATCTAAAAGAGATTAGCCCGCAGCATGCAGTTGGAAGTGTTCAGATGTTATTTACAGGTATTTAAGAGTAAATGGATGATGTTATTGTGATCTTTGCCTCTTCTACTTGACTAAATTGAAAGCCTGGCACTGTTTGACTTCTATAATGAGCTAAGTTATGATTTATTATGGTGTATACAGGTTTTTCTTTTAAGCTACTAATTATATAAAGAATTCTATATTGTTTCTTTGAGCTGATATGACATTTTTTACGTATTTTCTTTCGGATAAAGAAATTAATATTTATAACTACAGTGAAATACCTCTTAACTGGCATCCCACCAGATCAGTGGAAAATGTTGGTATAGTGAAAATGAAATGAATGAAGTTTTATGTCCTACTTTTCTGCACCATGTGGTCTAATGAAGACGGGCAACGCCATGCAGATTGCAATGAGGGAAATTTTGCCAGGACAGCGGCAATAGCCTGCTCCTTTTCTATTTCCAACTTTCGAGGGATCTTTAACGTGCACAGCCTGTAGCACAAGGGGCCTCGGTTTATCGTCCCATACGAACGACTAGACACTTTTTCCATGTCAGCCCTTATTACCTGCTTCATTGACAGGGGGAAACCAGGTTGTAAAATCTGAAGGTATTGGGGTTGTCGGTTTATTGTTCAATAGACTACTCAAACACGATTTGAATCCCTGGTCATATGTCCACCACAAAGGGTAAGTAAATGTCATTCAAGTATTAATCAATCATAAAAACAATGGACATCGGTTTTTTAATTGGAATAGTGAATCATGGTTTATTTTGATAATTTGTCAAGGCACATGTCATCCTTAGCTATAATATCGTCAATAGATTATCTGTGCCTATCATCTCCATTTTTTACCCTTTCAAAGACTAACATGAATTTTGTTGATGATTAAATCAATTGAGGTTATAAAACTTATTTACTGATCAATATGTTTTGCTGGAAATGAGAAATTGTAGCACCAATAAGGCAAAAGGTAGGCAAAAGGTCTCAATTATATTTTCTTCTGGTTCTGACACCAGATGGTGCTGAAAAGTAGGACGTAAAACTCCATTCATTTCATTTTCATTTTTTGACACCAGAACTTTTTTTAAAGAATCCTTCTCTACCATCCTTTTTACCCTTTCTACACTAGCAGCCATTCTGTCAAACACTTAATGTGTCATCAATTAATGTTTATATTATAAACTTAAAGAGATTGTAAAGAGATTTTCTGACTTCTTCATATGTATCAGGGACACTGATAGCATCAATTTGCACCACTCCAATTTTCAGATATCTGTCACATGGTTCCTGCAATTCCTCTAAAACTAAGTATTCGGTGATGCCACTAATCACAAAATATGCTTATCACATAAGGCCCTTCGCAATTAGTTATGTCATAAAACGCTTAGTTTACTGGAATTGCAGGAACCACAGACATCTGATTGAAAATTTTAATGGTGCAAATTGATGCTATCTGTGTCCCCTATACACATACAAAATTTAGAAAACCTCTTCACAATCCCTTTAAATCTAAGAATTTTGTTATTTACACTCAGTGTTCAAAGTGTTAAAGGCTAAAATATTCAATGCTAAGCCACATATGTTCATAATTTCCATAACTTTTTGGGAATGCAGAAATATGAAATTAACTAATAATTTTAGAAACAGTTTTTTAAGTGCATTAAAATGTGGTGCAGAATTGTAACAGTTTTATGATTAGTTATGTCAGACCACACTAAACTAAAAAGATGTCACAAGTGGGTTTTAGTTGTAAATCCAAGGTAATTAATGTTGAGAATTTAATGTTCTGTATTAAGAAATGGGTGACTTATATTCATATGACTTGTTAAAATAGAAATAAAATTAAATGCCTTTGTTATTTTTATAGTATAGAAAATGTAACAAAATACGAAAGGATATGTTAGCTCAGTGAGTTAGATACTTGCTTGCTATTGTGAAGGTGCCTAGCACATAGTGACATATTTAGGGGTTGGCCATGCCCCCCATCCCTCTCAAGCCTGTAAAAGGTCTTATTTTGAATTGCAAATTTAGACCTCTAAATGCTTTAAATTCATCTCAGTCCATCTTTAATCCACAGGCTTATAGGGGCCTCTGACAGCCTCAGACTTCTTGGGCCTCGTCTCAGAGAGACGACTTTTCTAGATACACCCCTGATGGCTCTAGATGCATCTAGTTGTCTCTCAAATAGTACAATAAGTCAAAAAGCCCTGTGTGATTTTTATGAGTGGATTTGGGTTTTTTCATTGCATCATCAGGACTGGAAGTCCCTTTTTGCACCAACTTCCTGTCTGCACTGTGAGGGATCTGGACAATCTAGACTACTAACACTAGTTCTCTAAGTTTTTATCAAGTGAATTACTCAGATCATGTTCAATCAGATCAAACTAAATAAAAAAGAACAACAGAATAAATTTTTACTTAATCCAAAAGTAAATAATTTTGATATGTTATTGACAAACTTGGTCTTTTATCAGTTGATTTTGGGATTATGCGTTGTCAGATTTCGAGGAGAAAAGGTTAACAACATAAACATCAATCACAAAAAAAGAAGAAAGTTTTTTTTGTCCGTCTGCTCAATGGAGAATGTTGTAAACAATGAAATATTATCACGTTTGATTTCAACACGATAATCTTTATTGACAGACGGATTAAATTCCTGTCTTTTTATCAATATTATCATTCTTTAACATATTAGATCAGACAACAACAAACACTTGACAAGGTCCTTTGATTTGGGTGTATACACATAACATGGCAGAAGCTTCACCTGTAGTATTTATTCTTGTTTGAGATATCCAAGACCTCTTAAGCCACAAATCGTTGTAATAAAGAAATTGTGCCTGAATATTGATGCTAATTTCTGGTGAGCAATTGTCAGTTGAGCAATTGTCAGGGGACCAATTGTCAGATGAGCAATTGTCTGGAGAGCAATTGTCTGGTGAGCAATTGTCAGATGAGCAATTGTCAGATGAGCAATTGTCTGGAGAGCAATTGTCTGGTGAGCAATTGTCAGATGAGCAATTGTCAGATGAGCAATTGTCTGGAGAGCAATTGTCTGGTGAGCAATTGTCTGGAGAGCAATTGTCATCTGACCAATTGTCATCTGACCAATTGTCAGATGAGCAATTGTCAGGAGAGCAATTATCAGATGAGAAATTGTCAGGTGAGCAATTATCAGATGAGCAATTGTCAGATGAGCAATTGTCAGGTGAGCAATTGTCAGATGAGCAATTTTCAGGTGAGCAATTGTCAGGTGAGCAGTTGTCAGGTGAGCAAATGTCTGGTGAGCAAATGTCTGGTGAGCAAATGTCCTACACTCATGTTAAAGATCCCTTAACAGATTGAAATTGAAAAAAATAGGTTAATGTCACTGTCTTGGCAAAATTTACCTCACTGCACACAACATGGGGGTGCTGATCTTCATTATCCCAACCAGATACAGAAAAGTAGGATATACAACTTTATTTGTGCCTGATAATTGCCCCGTTTAATCTAATTTTGACTTTTAGAATTATGATTATCCAAAGCTGTTTAACTTACTTCTCTTTTCAAACATGCAGATATAAGGCTTTATTTTTATAAGTTATCAAAATTTCCTTTCAAGTTTGATCAGTGTGGGTCTGTTAAAAGACAACTATTAAAATTCCAGGTAGGATTGTCTAGTAATTTGACAAGAGATTGTTTTCTATAAAGAAGATACAAGGGAAGGATAAATTACTTCTTTATTCTAATCTCATGTTTATAACTCCCCCACACCAACATCCAGTCTCAAAATAAACCTCCATTACTTTGATCTATCACCAACATAATCTAAAAATGGGCGGCAAATGAAAACATTGTTTGATGTTCATTGTTTTGATACTAATGCCAATCATGAACCCCCAAATATTTTCACGACCTCTGACCTATTAATAAGTGGGTTGACAATTTGTGTCACCTTTAATAAGATTTAGAGTTAATCATTTTGACATGATAATCACTATTAATTGGTCAAAAGTTTTGACACCTTCAAACAAAATGGCGGTTTTTGGGTACCTTGGGAAAAAAGTTGTTCACACATTTGATTGGCATGTTAATTTTCACAACATGGCATTTGCTAACATTTGAATTTATTGTGTAAAAAATTTACAAGTCCAGCCAAAGTATGATAGATTGGTACAGGTAAAGGAGTTAGTTTTGGTCTAGACCTTACATACTGGTACAAATACTAAAAAACAACACAAATTTAAGTGTCCATTTAATCTCTAGTCAAAAATCTTGACAGAAATGTAAAGTGGCAATTTAATTTATGCTTTAAAGGTTTAGAAATCACACTAAAATAAACCAGCTACAAATCCTAAAATTCAAATTGATCATACTCATTCAAATGTTCATACAGGGCAGCAGACTTGTTTGGTCGAAAATTTTGAAGGTTGAGGTTTTCAACAATTTTACCTGTAATTTTGGGGGTTTTTGGGTTGTAGCGTCACCCAAAAACACTACTTGTCTGCCTGAGGTTTTTTTTTCGGTCACTGTCACTGGACAGATGCTTACAAATGCTCATCAGACAGTTGCTCACCGGACAGATGCTCACTGGACAGATGTTCACTGGACAGATGCTTACAAATGCTCACCAGACAGTTGCTCATTAGACAGTTGCTAACCAGACAGATGTTCACTGGACAGTTGCTCACTGGACATTTATTCACCAGCCAGTTGCTCACCAGACATGCTCACAGATGCTCACTAGACAGTTGCTCATTGGACAGTTGCTCACTGGACTGATACTCACCAGACAGATGCTCACTGGACAGTTGCTCATTGGACAGTTGCTCACTGGACAGATGCTCACCAGACAGATGCTCACAGTTGCTCATTGGACAGTTGCTCACTGGACAGATGCTCACTGGACAGTTGCTCACTGGACAGATGCTCACCAGACAATTTCTCACCAAAGAAATCAGACATAGGACAATTGTTCACATCAATTTTATAACAAATATCGGTGAGTGATACCCTAAATTTTACGCCTAATTTATACACTGTATATGAAGATTGTATCCTACTGAAGTGAGACTCAATTGAGCAAATAACAAAGGATTGAGATCTTTAAAATCAAAAGACATACACATATAAAACAATAAAAAACACAATCAATTTCATCTTTTAATGCTTTTAACTTATATAATAGCTTTTAATACACTTACTATCATATCAAAATCTCATAAACACAATTCTTTTAATAAAAAGTCTGACATGATATTAAACGAATGAATTTTTTTTACCTGAGAGATCATTCAACCAATCCTTTAAAAGTTTTTTGTATTCAATAAACACTGAATTCTAATCAAAGAACAATCATAAAAGTTTTGCTTTGTTCTTAAAAGCCTATTTTTTTTAAGAATGAAGCCTAAAAGGGACAAGTTTGCCATCCATCATTCAGTGATATCACAGTGATCAGTGATCACAGCTCACCGTCAAATTCAGGTGTGTCTAGAAATATCTGCGTTTGAATGTTAAATGATGAGTCTTCTTTTATTTAGACACTGATCCCATATAGAAAAGACATATATAGAAATAGCAAAAGAAATTCCTAGTTTTAGATATTTTTGAAGGAATTATGCGAATTTAGTACATTTCTAGTACTTCTGAAGACTATTATCAAGATATAGTTTTTATCTACTTAGTGGTATATTATACTCTATAAGGGTTTATAATGAGGTTTACTAAATTTTGAATGTATATCAGGTACACTTATAGCACCATTCCAATTTTTAATGATTAAACTATATGGGTTCTGCAATTCCACTAGAATATTTCTAATATGACAGCAACAGACACCTGTAATTGGAATGATGCAGATGGAAGCCATAAATGTTTTGAAAACAATTCCTGTAAAGGGGATAGTACACTTTTCCACCTCTTTAGTAAAATTAGTGCAAAAAGAATGGTAAAGAAATTTTCTTGATATTAGGTGCATATATATTATCTCAAAATAAATATGCATTATCACATAATTTGATAAAATTCATGTCAGGTATCCAACAAATCCTGCCAAAATTCCTTATGAATGTATAATAAATCATAGTATAATGAGACAGAATGTGATGATTTTGGTGGGAATAACCTGTATGTCAATGATAAGTATCAGAAGTCATTTATAACTAATGTTGTTATCATACATACTAGTAGGTACCTGATACTACTGGTAATTAATAACTAACATAATTTAGGAGAAATTTAGTAGAGACTGAAAGGTGATCATTTCATGGAGGTTTGCTATTTTCTTGATAATATCTGGTGTACCTATACTATTCTCCTGGTATTTAACATGAAGAGATTTAATAGAGTTTAAAAGGTAACCTAATCAATGTTGGCCTTTGATTTTGTAATTGAAATCTCAGATAAATCTTTGAGCACGAAAAAAAGCGGCAATCCTTAAAGTACAGAGCTCATCTTGTGCCATTAAAACATGCTTCAGGTTTAATTAAAATTTAACTAAAAAGAGTCAAATATACATTTTGCGGACTGATAGTGATCAATTTCAGGTATCCATATCACTTTAAATAATTAAAATCTGACATAAGGTTCCTACGCGATAAAACAAAAAAGCATAGACTGTCTCAATATTATGACAGAGTAACTGCCAAAGAAAAGTGATGACACTAAAAACTAGAGTTGTACAAATTTGAGTTTGTTTAGCAGATTTTGTATATCAAATGCAAAGTATTAAACAGACTGTTTCCCTGTTCATAAGAATCAGTTAAATGGTTTGTGTCAATCCCAGAGCACACCTGGAATGAAGAGTAGCCCAATGAAGGTAAAAAAAGATAGAGTATCTGGTAAGACTATAATAAAGATAAAATAAACTGATGTTGACATGTACAACCTCTATCATTGACAATGATCAACATTAATAGTGTATCTTTATCATGTCAAATAGGCCAGTTAGTGATTTAACTGTCATAATTGACACTAGTGGTATAAAACAGGTTTCTTTTCTACCAACAGGTAGCCAAGTGCCAAGCAATTGAGGGATTACATACAAGGCGACATGGTTAACCACTTACTTGTTTGGTTTCTGATTTTATATCACTACATGTACAAATGGCTTAGAAGATTTCAAAAGATAAACCAATTTCAAAGAGTTTTAATTTCTTAACATGGATTTTTTTTCCTGAATGACAAAGTAGAAGATTACTTAACAGTCTTCTTATCCAATGATGGCCATAACTGCATTACTTAGCATTTATTGCTGATTATCAAGCCATGCAGTGTGCAATGAGAAAAATTTTGCAAGGATAGCAGCATTAGTCTACTCTTTTGGGATTTTCAATGTCGAGAGATATTGAACGTGCACAGATAGTAGTATATAGGGCCTTGATTTATAGTCTCATCCAGGCAACTAAACACTTTTTCCAACCTGCATCACTAACAGGGGAAACCAGGGTGAAAAATCTAAAGATATCATCTTGCCCTATTATGGGATTGATCTCATGACCTATTGCTTAGCGAGAAAGGGTTCAATTCACTTAGCCACCGTGGCTCCTTTCATGTTTACAGCATATAACATATCTTTCTTATCACTGCTCTGTAATATCAAGTAGGTATGCATCTACAGGCCTAATGTTGAAAGACAACTTGAGCTAAACTTTCAAGAGAAACACAAGAACCCTCAATCTACAACCATTATTCCCAGTCTGATATTTTCAAGAGAAGCACAAAATAATTACAGATTATATAACCCCATACTGTGGTAAGACATAAATCTCTCAAAATCTCAAAATCTCACATTCTCTCGAATTCTCATCAGAGAAAAAGATGACTTTTGGCTGTAAGTTGAAATATCAACAAAGAATGGAAAAATAAACAAGTCTCAATGTCAAGAATTTCAAAAGCAGAAAAATATAGGATTGAAATACTAGGATATATTTTTGATTGGCATCTCTAACTCAGCAGGACTGGAGTCTTAATTTCAACTGTAAATATAATCTGGAGGATATTTTATCAAGGATAATGACCCAAGGTGACATTTTGTTTGTAAAAAAAAATGTGTTTGGAATATTGCTGGGATTATGAAATGTTGCAGATTTTGTTTAAATCTTCATTTGAAGACTTTTTGCTTTCGACAAAATAAAGCAAAAAAGGGTATCATAGCTTTTAGACAAGAATGTGTGAACTTTTTTGTTCTACTCTTAACTAAACGAAAACAACCTCTAATCTTAAAGAGCATTATGGCAACAAGAGGTTAATGGCATCAAAACTGAATTT